GCGCGCGCGCGCGCGCGGGGTATCGGGTGACCAGCATTTGACGCTGTTGAGGAGGGCGGGACATGAGGCGTCGCTGACGTGTCAGCGGACCAATAGGAAGCCGGGGATCATTCGCACGTTGGCACAATTGGCTTAGAATAAAGACGCTGCGTCCCGGGACCGTGATGTTCGAGCCGGAGCCGAGAGTCTGAGACGATGCTGCAGAAAAATTGCGCCTCCAGCTTCCTGCGGGGTTTGTGTGCGGGATTAACCGCTGATACATAGCTCTGTGCGGGTGTGTGTGCCTGCGTGTGCGCAGACGCAGCGCGCTCGGAGCCAGCCAGCCGCGTCAGGTGGATGCGCCTGCAGTGATCCAGGTCGCCCCTATGGATCGCGTCCATGGACGTCTCCAAACCCGCTGTGGACAATAGTTTGAGTCCCAATGCGCGCGGTTCCTCGTCAGAAGACGCGGAGGTGGATGTGTTTCGCTGGCCCACACCGCGGGATGGAGTGTGCGCCGCGCCGGGTGCGGGACGCGGAGCTCCGGGCTTCTGGACGGCCGTGTTCGACTATGAAGCGACTGCGGACGACGAGCTCAGCCTGCGGAGAGGGGACCTGGTGGAGCTGCTGTCCAAGGACTCCCTGGTGTCCGGGGATGAGGGCTGGTGGACCGGGATGATAGCGGACCGGGTTGGCATCTTCCCGTCCAACTATGTGAGCAAAGGGAAAGGCATTCCGAAGGAGATCCGGGACACCTCGGAGCAGCAGTGCTCGCTGCCTCCTCTGCACCGTGAGTATCACAGCGTGTTAGGACTCAAACAGCAGCACAGTCTTTTGTTAAGGCCACACAGACTCGTCTTTGCTGTGTCATGGTAGATGTAGAGCTCTCCTGTTGGCCTGGAAACAGGCTCCGAGCATCCTCACAGCTTCAGGACCATTATTCACCCCCCCCCCCCTCCTGTCAAACAAACAGCTGCTCCGGTTACAATGTGCAGCAGGATGCATGTTTAACACAGCTGCACATACCTGCACGTTCTGCTCGCACAATCCTATGAAATCATGCTTTGGCTTGGTGTGCATTGATTTTAATGATAGCCGATGACGTTTGTGCCAAAACTGTGCAGCAGGAAAGAAAGAGATAACGCTTGTAGAGAAAAGGCTCCTGCAGCTGAATGTGCAGCCAGGGCCTCGGATATAGAAACAGAAAAACATATAGGACAGAGTGAAAGCACGCTTCACGTATTGCTTTTTGTGAGCTGCAGGATGATCTGCAGAAAAACCTCTCATGCAACTCACATGTGAACCGAAGCATAAACAGGCAGCAAACACAGAATTGAACACCCTGTTGTTTGGGTGGACCACTACGCCTCAGCCGTTTGTGTCGGCCTCCGTCTCTTCAGAAGCAGCATGGCCTACTTTCACACACCATCCCACCTGAAATATTCATCAAGGTCAGTCGGCTCACCAGACTGTTAGGAATCCACAACAAAACTGTTTGAAAAGCTCGTGTTCACATCATCCCCACACACCTTTCATGTAAACACTCATTCTTCAAACTTCCCCTTCCACATTTTAGGGCAGATGCTCACTCGAGCACAGAAGCAGTGGGGATAGCTCCACCAGATTCTGTATTTGGGGCAGCAGGGGGGCTTAGCATCCTTCAGCTGAATGACCTGGTTTTGAGATTCTTGTTAGCAAGCACTTGTCCTGCTGATGAGTAACACCAGGTCGATAGAGGCTGACCCTGACCTCTCAAAGTGTTTCAAGATAAAAAAAATATGTTAGCTTTGTGTTCTCTGTCGCTCTAATTCTTCTCTTCTGTCTCTCCTCAGTCTTGGAGATTGATTTCTCAGAGTTGACCCTGGAGGAGATCATCGGGGTGGGAGGTTTCGGGAAGGTCTACCGTGCGGTGTGGCGAGGCTCAGAGGTGGCGGTGAAGGCGGCACGACGGGATCCTGACGAGGACGTGGAGCAAACCCTGGAGAGCGTGCGTCAGGAGGCCAAGCTCTTCGCCATGCTCAACCATCCCAACATCATGGCTCTGCTGGGGGTGTGTCTGCAAGAGCCCAACCTGTGTCTGGTCATGGAGTACGCCCGGGGTGGCCCCCTCAATCGGGCCCTGGCGGGGAAACGCATCCCTCCCTGCACGCTGGTGGACTGGGCTGTGCAGATCGCTCGGGGCATGCTCTATCTCCACAGCCAGGCCATCGTCCCCATCATCCACCGGGACCTCAAGTCCAGCAACAGTAAGAGTCCGTCTCTGTGGAGTATTAAAGCAACGTGCTTCTTAAGCTCAGTGGTAACTTGCTTTGTAAAACTCAACTCAACAGAGTCAATTAACTAGTTCTAATATGTCAACGAAAACAACTTGACCTATGTAATATATCTTGTTTACTTGTGTACTTACATTATCCAAAATGTTCCCAAACAATGTTCAAACCCAGAGAAATCCACAATTTTATTTTTGTTGCCTTTTAATTGTGTCATATACCACTTTAGGGGCTTTGTCTGTCTCATAATTTCCAGAGCAAACAATGTAGGATGAAGGAAAAACACATCTGATATCAGCCAATCAGCCGTCGACTGTTTTGTCCTCCCACTGTTTGTTTTGGTCACTGGTAATAGATCATAGTTGTTCATTGCCGTTTGCTGCGTATCGTGAATTAAACCTTAATACATGACCTCATCCGTGAACATGATCTGCAACAGTGGTGATGACAACATCTCCCATGATCCCGCGCTGCTTCACAACATCCTCAACTTATCTCTGTTTGTTATTGTTTTGATTGTGAGAAACCCAAAGCAGCTGAAGATACATGTTGTACAAGTGATTCTTCTAACGAGAGCTGCATGTAGGTCTGCAGCTAACAAATTAAATACGTTATAGATTAAAATAAGCAAACTGTTGAAAATTACCATCAAGACTTCCTGGAGACAAAAGTGATGTTTCATCAAAATAATTGGCAATTAATATTCTTTTAACTGACCAATGGATCAAATTACTTCAGCTTCATCTGCATGGCACCTAGCGATTGTTCACTGTTTTCATGATATTATGAGATATAATATAACCTGATTAATCAAATATAATCATTATTATTATTATTATTTTTGGAATAGAAATGACTTTTCACTGGAATTAAATGGCAGAGTTGCACAGATACATCCTGGTCATTCTATGGGACAGTCAAAAATTAGGTGCAGCTTTAATATGTAATCTGTTCTATATAAAATATCAAACCATATTCAGCCCATGCTAAACCAGCTGTGATTTGCACTTCATATATGTGATTCAGAAATGAGAGCAGAAAGGAAAATGAGTTGATGTGTGCGTTTGTGGAGCAGCTGTAATCTTGCATTTTACCCAACTGGATCCCCTAAATCCCAAGCCTATTACTGAGGATTTGCCCAACGCTCTGCCCCAGCCTCTCCGGTGGAGGCTCCGCCAATACATACAGCCCGCTCCTTTCCTGCCATTGGCCCGTTCTCTGGTGATCAGCTCAGGCGCTTGATTTCCAATAGGCTGCTTTAAAGTGTTAAGTCGGTGTAACTAGTTGCCATCCTGGGCTCTGTGGGGAAAACCCATGTCCTCTTCACAGCAGAGGAGGAAACAGGACGGTGCACCAGGGCCCGTATCCACCCTGCAAGTGTGACATCCACAGTTCTTCTTTCCTTTCTGGTCTGTGACACAATGTTTAGATTGTTGTAAGAAGTTATACCGGCTCTGATCAGGCAGTGATAAACATGACACATGGGTGGACATGCTCATTTTCACCTCCTCAGCAGAGCACACACTGTTTTTGTATTTTATACAGTACAGTGAAGTTCTGTTTGAAGCTGGCTTGTTGAGCCTTTCGAGTTTTTATGACATCTGACCTCTACCACAGCCTCTCTGTCATGTTGGGAAGGGGAGTGTGAGGTGAAGGGGGTGTTCAGCTGCAACATGCAGCGTCACCACTGAATTCTACACACTGAACCTTTACAGAAAGTTGCTCATGACGCACCGTGAGGAGGAGGATGTGGGTTCACTCAGACTCCACCCTGTGACACAAACACTGTGGCAGTGGATGGTGGCAGAATTTAAAAAAGACTTGAAAGTCAAGATTCATGTTTTGCATCTTTTTCTGACTCAGAGGCTCATAAACAAGGACGGTTTCATTTTTAGTTGAGCCGGCGTCACAGTTCTGGATCAACAGGAAATTCTATTCATAATCTCCAGAGGATGAACAACGCTGTTCTCCTGATGTTTAATTTAGCACCATATATCTCGACATTTATTCTATGGACTGCCATGAAACCAGATACAGACCTAATAATGATTTCTAACAACTTCAATTCAAATGTTTTCGTCCATAAAATCATTGAAACTTTTCCAGATCAGCCAACGCTCACCACTAAAGAAATAAACCAGAAATAAATACCCAGAAATATACTACATAAAACTATCCCATAAGTGATATAGTTTAGTTAGCCATTAAATGTGTATGTCCCATATTTACTGGGAACACTAGTAAGTGTGTTAGTGTTGTCATTAGAAGTATGTTAGTGTCCATATGATAGCTCTGGCTGGGTATTTTAAAGATCACAAATATGCCCCTACACCATGACAGTGGCTTTTTCTTGGACAAAGCTCTGTTTTAGTATCGAGCTCTATTTGAAGGCTCTTCACCGTCTTGGCTGATGATTGATTTTGCTGTAAATTCTGCAACTTTTCAAAAAAAAAACTGTCAGAGAAGCAACCGTGTAATTCTGTTTATCTCAGTTTTAGCAGTTCTACTCAGTTACTCCTGTTTTGCTTGTGTCATGAAGAAATGTTCACCTTCACCCTCTCGACTGTCTCCACGGCCTCCGTCACACAGCACACGCCATTAGCAGAAGCTCTTATCTAAAGCGCTGTACATTACAGTGAGTGCATACATTCGGAGCACGATCGGTCTCAGGGGGAATCGGCTGCGTTTGCTTCGTGTTGCACCTTCTCCAGCTTCAGTTGCATGTTTTAGTTTCTTTCAGAAGTGCCTCAGCGGCATCAGAGCCACATGAGCAGCAGATGAAGGGGCGCTTGATGTGCACCGCAGCCTGCAGACACACCCTCTCCACTGGGCACAGCAGATGGCCTGGCATTGTGCAGCTGAATGGGGGAGAGAGAACATGTGGTCAGGAGGAGTCTCGCTCGGCTTGTCGATGTTGGGAGCGGGCTGTTTTTAGAGCGTGTTAGAGTGAACAGGACATTCCAGTATAGTTCAGCTGGGGCATCAGATGTTGTGTTGTGACAATACGCAGTGAGATCATTAGCTTTGATCAAGTTTGGTGTTTCTCACTGTTTCTTGGTTTCTCTGTTTCTTCTCTTTTTTCCTCTCCTCTGCTTGTGTCCTTCCAATCCTTTCATCACGGCCTCCCACCGACCGCACCCTGTTTTCATCATCCACCATGTGTCTGTTATTTTGGGTTTTTTTTTGCATTTCCACATGCGTTGCCTCTCCCAACATTTCAATCCTGGTAATGATCACCTGAAACCTTCACCCTCCCGTCAATTTGCACAAATTCCCCTCACATCCTCCAACCTCCCCCTCATCCTCCGACTGAACCCCCCCACACACACATACACCTCCGCCTTCACCACTCCCCCCCAAATACCCGCTCCAGTCCTGATCCTCGAGAGAGTGGAGATGGAAGACCTCAGCAACAAGACCTTGAAGATCACAGACTTTGGCCTGGCTCGAGAGTGGCACCGCACCACCAAGATGAGCGCCGCAGGCACCTACGCCTGGATGGCTCCTGAAGTCATCCGCTCGTCTACTTTCTCCAAGGGTAGCGACGTATGGAGGTGGGCGGAGGGAGCGGGTTTGAACAAACTGCACCAGAGTGTAGAGCTGGTGTAGAGCAAGAGAAGCAGTTTATTCACCAGGCACAGAGAAGAAAGTTCAGCTCCAGCAGCAGTTTCCATAGTAACTACTCAGAGACACAGGGAAGGACAGAACGTTATGTTTTTATGAGATGAGTAAATAAATTAGAGAAGCTAAATGGTACATTAACCATAAAAATACTAGACATTGATGCACTCGAGCATCACGGGCTCTTATGTGTCTCTACTTAACTTCAAAGATTTAACACTGACTTGATGTTACTACACGACGGAATGTTTTAATGCAGATTTCATTAATATTCAGAGATTTTATTTGTCACACGCTCATGCATTATATGCAATGAATTCAAGGCAGCATACTCCTGTGCTGAAAAAGAATGAATAGAATAAAAGGCAAACTAAACAATAACATAGGACTCAGGAATAATTCTCATAACTGCACAGATGTCATTCATCATTTTCATGTTCTGTGTGTGGATTTTTTTCCTGACGATTGTTCCATTGGTCCACCAACAGAAAATGGAATATTTAGTTGAATTTTTCTTTTTACTTCTCAAGCAAAAACATGTCAAATTGGATTGATTTAGCTTCTCAAATGTGAAACGGTTCTGTTTTTCATTGTCTCACAGTAAATCAAGCAGGATGTCGTTGTTTTTTACTCAACAAGATATTTGAAGACATGTGAAAAATTCAGATTTTCTGACGAATGATTTGTGCATTAAATTAGAGAATAACTGTCAGCGATATAAATAACTTTTGATTTCAGCCCTAACTGTAGCTTCAACCTTTAGACAACTTAAGAACTCTGGAGCCAAATAGCTTTTACTCAGTTTCACACTCCAGTGATGAATGATTTGTTTAAATGCCATGTGTCATGTTTCCTTTCACAAGCGTTACACCTGCAGCAGCTGCAAAGGTCCAGCTCAGCTGCTCCTGAATGAAAGTGGAGTTTTTCCCTGTAAAACACGATTAAAGCGCCAAGAGACGGCAGCATGCAAAAAAACTGTCATGGTAGAAAGGTCAATTACTTCGCTAATCAATGCTTCTACATTAGAATAGAGTAAACCCTGTGGAACGACTTCAGGAAGCAAACATGTCGCTGAGAGGCTGAGGTCGGGCCTGAATAGTTGGAATGAAGCGCTATGACCTGTGACCCACTTCTCGCCATATTAATATGATCACAAATAATTCATGGCTCCTATCCCTGGTCAAAAATAATCCTTAATCATTTTAAAATAATTTTTAAATAACACTTCCTGGCATGTACACCAGGAAGTGCAGTCAGTCACATCAGCGCATCTATTTGTTATTTTTTAAAGAATTATTTCAAGTGTCATGTGTTCCAGGTCTGTTAGCTCAGAAATACAGAATCTGTGACATTCATCCCTGGTTTGTGTGATTCCCTGCAGCTCATCAGTGTGTGGTTTAAGTGTTAGTCATAAATCTGTCAGCAACCGCTCTGACCTTTTCTGTCTCACCTTAGTGTTTCCGTGAATGAAATGAAAAACAGAGTCGTTCTAATCCAGTTTTGTTAAAAAAAAAAAAAAACTGTTGATTGCTGAACATTCAAACTGTTTTTTCAGAAATCACTTGCTTGACATTCATATATTCACGCACACATTTGTCTTTATAACACATTGTTGGATGTTATGCACAAGGTGAGATTGCACTTTCATCGAGCTCCTTGTCTCAGGAAGATATTAGCATCAGATTTTTAACGTTTACAGCTTCAATAATTATCGTTTATTTGATTGTCATTTGTTTCTCTTCCCTTTCTGTGACCGTAAAGTTACGGCGTGCTGTTGTGGGAGCTGCTGACTGGAGAAGTTCCTTTTCGGGGTATCGACGGCCTCGCAGTGGCGTACGGCGTGGCAATGAACAAACTCGCTTTGCCCATTCCTTCCACTTGTCCTGAGCCCTTTGCACGTCTCATGGAGGGTAAGACAGGACAATATAAATAGAGTGGACTGTTGTTCCTGCCCTGTAAGATTACAATGTGTCCAATAAACACTAAGTTAAGAAATTATTTAATTACTTTCCGGGACCATTTTAATTGAAAACGTAATTTGTGCTTGAGTTGGTTATTTATCATCTGCTGTAGACTGCTGGAGCTCAGACCCTCACTGTCGGCCACAGTTTCCGTCTGTTTTGGACCATCTGACGGCCATCGAGGAGTCGGGCTTCTTTGAAATGCCGGCAGAGTCTTTCCACTCTCTGCAGGATGACTGGAAACTGGAGATCCAGGAAATGTTTGATCAACTGAGGACCAAGGAAAAGGTAAAGATGAGATGAACCCTCTTTTCTCTGAAGAGTTGGATCGTTGAATGCATCCATCACCCCTTCTCCTCGTTTCCTCAGGAGCTGCGATCGTGGGAAGAGGAGCTGACCCAAGCTGCGCTGCAGCAGAAGTGCCAGGAGGAGGCGCTGAGGAGGCGCGAGCAGGAACTAGCCGAGCGGGAGATCCACATCCTGGAGCGAGAGCTCAACATCATCATTCACCAGCTCTACCAGGAAAAGCCTCACGTGGAGAGCAGGCAGGGCAAGTTCCGCCGCAACCGCCTTAAACTCAAGGATGGGAACAGGATCAGCTTACCCTCAGGTACTGCAAACAGAGAGTGTCAATCAATACACACATGTTTTCAGAAGACAAAGCTAGAGCTGGGATATTATGACACAAGACAAGGTATCTGGAGTTTTAGTTAACTTTTTGATTTGGCAGGATATTAGATTAGTTGAGATATTTGTTGTTTTTAAACCTTTTTGTCAGAGATGTTTTATACCCACCCATAATATTGTAAATTATAGTATGTAATTTAATTTCTATCTACTTAAAAGTTACATCTAATCTATTGTTTGTTTGTTTGTAGATTTTCAGCACAAAATCACGGTGCAGGCCTCTCCCTCCCACGATCGTCGGAGGAGTTTGCTCAGCAGCAGTTCCAGCCCCCCGCCCAGTCCACCCATCCTCCCCCGCCTGAGAGCCATCCAGCGTAGGAACCATACTCATCTTTATATTTAAACTCAACGTGTTTATTAATCTTCAATACCGCAGAGCACAGCCTCTATGCATTCTCCAAGGACGTCCAATTTCACCTGAGATTTTCATTCATCATACGCCATTTGGCCTTTCACATGGATTGTCTAATGTTTACCTGTTTTCTTGTTCTGCAGTCACTCCAGGAGAGGGGTGTACCGCCTGGGGTCGCAACACACTTTTTTTCCAGCAGGATGATGAGGAGGTCGAGAGGAGAGGTTCCAGGAAGATAGGCAGGTCCCGTGGGTGTGGCCCCCACAGGGAGCACAGCGCTGATGCCAGGTGAAAGGACTGGAGATATCAAACAACTCAAAACTCTCCACTCAGTTTATTCATAGTTTGTCTTTCTGTTGATATTTCACGTATTGTTGCCTTTGGAGTGAAAGTGCCTGGTTTTTCTTATTTTATCTCAACAGTGTGAAACCTCCTCACGAGTGCAGCAGGCAGCGGTCCTGCAGCGCCCCAAACCTCCGCAGATCCCCGAGGCACAGTCCAGCGGTGCCTGGAGTGCCGAGCCTTGTGGAGATGGGTAAGCACAAAAAGAAAAAAAGTCTTAGGGTTAAAAAAAATGGCCGTGAAAAACATGTGAAATGAAAGTGAGTGAGCCAGATTCTTCTTTCCCACACGGCTGTGGTTGACCTGGGAAACTCACAGATGTTTGCAGCTGTACGAGTGTAAACAGGCTGGTGCTGAAAAGGGATCGAGAGCAGACAGCAAACCAGACGTAAAGGAATGGAATTCAAGAAGCAGTCACCCACACACACACACACACACACACACACACATAGCATGCAGGTTATTTACAGTAGCAGTAAAGAAGCAACAACCACTAACCGAGCTCAAGCAAATAATGTGGCCGAAGACAAACATGTTACTCATCAAGTTTTACCTTAAGGATTTTTTAAAGATATTTAATAGGACCAAGTTATGAATGTCATAATGAAATTGAGCTAATATTCCATTTCATTACACGTCCAAAATCAGTGACGTTAAACTTTCAACGTTTGTTCTCGGCCTTTCTTTCCCAGCATCTGTACCGTAACACCCGAAATACACGCACATCTATTTTCAATGCGTGACCCTGTTTTCACAAAGATGAATGCAGTAAGAAGACACAGCTGGGTAGCGTCCAGGTATCAAGGCAGACCCGCTCTTGTTATCTTTTCCACGATCACCAACCCGACCTTTAACATGTGACTGATCCTGTTTTCAGAAAATGAAGACTGTTGCTTCTCCACTGAGCCAGGAGCTGTCCCTGGTCAGTCCTACCTCTGCATCCCCTTCCAGAAGGATGCCCACTCAGCCGCTACCGCTGACAGCGAAGGAGACGAGTACTGCCCCAGTGGCCAGGTGCCAGGAACGCCCCCGTGCAGGAAGAGCCAGGGAGGGGGTCGGCGCTCTGAGCTGGTGCTGCTGGGCTGTGGAGCTCTCCTGGCAGCTGTCGGACTGGGTTGCAACCTGCTAACTCTGGCCCAACCAGAGGAGAGCATCAAACCCCGGTGGGAGGGCTTCTTCCACAGAACAGGGGGCCAGAGGCGAAGCACCAGCCCCCCGACTCGTAGACTGTTCAGGCGGGAGAGCCCGCTGAAGCCCTCGGCGCCATCGCTACCTGAGCGAGGTTTACCCCCTTCCTACACACTGCTGTCCTTATCATCAGTGTCCGACTGCAACTCCACTCGCTCACTGCTGCGCTCTGACAGTGAGGACGTGTTGGTCTGCCGCCCTGCCTCACCGCCCCCACAACCGTCTTTCATACTTCAACACCCAGCCATTCGAACCCCGGTGAACCCACTGGTCAACACCCACCTGGAGAGCTTCAAGCGGAACCCCCGACAGTCTCTCACACCCACACACGTACCCTGCGCCCCAGCCTCCTCACGAAGTCTGCGTCGAATACCGTCAGACGGAGCCATAAAGAAAAGCTGCCCTTCCAATAATCTGGAGCCATTGCCAGAAAGATCAGCTTTGCAGAACACAGGTAAATGTCTCCTTTAACTATGATCAGTCATTGGAATAAACATTTTATGTTTCATCACACTGGTCTAGACGTCTTCTGCGCATCTTCTATGCGCATGGCTCCTCTTGAGATATTTCTATTATTCCAGTTTCACATCTGGTTCCTGTTAGAAACATTATCAACACGCCCACTCGTTCCCTGTGAATTCTCAGTTTTCCTGCTGTATTGTCTCATGGGCTCACTCTGATATTTTGCAGACATGTTACTTGTCTGGCAGGAAAATTGCGGAAAAGGTTGGGGGCAACTGACTGACTTTTGGAAAACGTCCGGACCTCAGTGACTGAGTCAGTCATAGAGGATTGATGGGTAATCTTTCTTATGTTTTCCCTTTCTCCTCTTCTCACCACAGCAGGTGGCTTCAGAGCTTTAAAGGAGGACTTTCAGAAGGTCCCCCGACTCCCTGATCCAAACATCGTGTTCCCTCCAACGCCTCGTCGCCGCTGTGCTCCTGAACGCCCCAAAACCCTAGACTTTGTAGCTCGGCCTCGGCCTTCGCCACGGATGCGCTCTGACGTGTTTTGGCCGGAGGGGAGGCCCAGGGGAAATGGACAAAACCTGGGTAACGGTGAATCCCCCGCCCACACCTCCAGCACGGAAACTCCCCCAACAGTAGAGTTTGGGAGGGACCCGGCAGTGCTGCCCACCCCGTTAGACGCCCCGACGCCCTTCTCCCCTCGCAAGAATGAAAACCTGTTGGATCGGCAGGACGAGGGACAGTACCGGGATGGAACCGTCCCACTCTGCAAACCGGAGATCAGTTTTCCCAAAGACACACCTTATGGCTACAGACCTGGATTCTGGTCCTAACTCAGCATCTAACTCTCACTGGTCCAACACAAGCAGGGGGCTGCCTTTGCCTTTGGATTGTGACAGGTGCGGGTCAATGGAGTCAGTTTTTAGCTTTAACTGGTACTAAAGGGGGGGTGGTTTCTCCATCTATATATTTTGGAATTAATTTACAGGAAGAGATTTACTGTGAACATTTTATCTTTCTGATTTTTGTTGTTTTACCAATGTGGCGTCTGAAACTACGACAGAGTACAAGGGTCATATTGAAGGAAAAGAGATTATGAGAATAACTTCACAATATTAGGAGATTAATCTTGTAATATTAGGGCTTTATTCTCATGATATTATAACTTTATTTTTGTAATATTACAACTGTACTCCCAACATTCTTTACCCTTTAAATGGCCCTAATACTCTGTTGTACCAAACAGCTGAATCAAACCTTGGAAAGTTAATGAAAAAGGTTTTTTGACCCAGGTCTGGTTGTTAATGCATCAGAAGGATAAAATTACAATTTTCCTTTACCCTGTCATTTGTCATTCAAGGATTTGTTTTCTCTTTGGGAATAAACAGACGAATATCTTTGTAGCAGAATGACAATGACAGTTTCACAAAGCTTTACATACTTTTTTCTAATTTTGAACTTGCGTTGAAGATTGTGCATTTATTCAAGTGCACTTTTGGGAAGCATCATGAATGTAAAGCTTCAGGGGGTTTTTTTTCCAAAAAGAAAAACACTGTCTCTGATTATTCGTCTGTAAAAGCACCATGTGATTTGATTTTCGACCTTCTGTGCTAGTAGCTGATGAATCCCTGTTTTGTACCGAGCACCTGTCATCACCAGTCACATCTGCAGAGTTAAATCCCAGGGAGGAGGGATGCTGTTGTATAATATGTGCACTTCTTTGCATTAGCAGCCGTGTCAGCACAATAACGTCTGACATCGTCTCCAGCTCTGTACTGTGAACTGCTCTATAAAAAAAAAGAGAAAAGAATGTCACTAAAGCTTGAGTTTGAATTGGAACTGAAACGCTGCCGGGGCGTCACAATATATCAGTATATCCAGGAACTCATTAATTCATTTGTGGCCCTGTTAGAGGAGCTTGGTCGGGGCCGAGCCACCATTTGAGAAACGTCTCTCCAAAACTGCGAAAAAGGGAACTTTTGTATTTGTAACTCTGTAAATTGTCGAATGAGGGATGTAAAGTGTGTTTTAAATTATGTTAATGGGTAAACTGCATGAGTGTTGAATGGCACAGGGGAGAAACAGGCCCTGGTGGCATGTGGAACTTCAATACTGATTATTTGTATTGATTTATTTAATTTTATTTATTGGTTAATTTATCTGAAGGTTTATTTTTATATTTCGTTTTATTTGCCTTTATTTTTGACACTTGGTAATGCTGTTCATGAATGTTTTTTGTTTTGAGAATTTTGCAACACTTTATTTTCATTTATGTCTGTTTCACTCACATTGAATTAACTTCTGTGTTTTTCTTCTATAGGATTTTCCAATTACCTCTGCAAAGGTGCAAGTAGTGTCAACTACAGAACTAGAGCTGAAGCGATTGGTTGATTGATCGAAATAGTCGATTAATTGTTGAAATAATTTTGAAGTAAAAATGCCAAACATTCCCTAGTGTGAGATTCTCAATTTTGAGATTATGCTGCTTATCGTTATTTTATTTGACAGTAAACTGGATTTTTGGTTTTAAACTATTGTTTTTCAGTATTTTCTGAGACTTTTTACTGAATAGTTGATCAATCAAAGAAATAATTAACAAATTAATAATGAAGGGGTATTTTATTAAGATTAATGGATGGAAAATGGCTTCTGCATTAGTTTCCATTTTTTTTCCACTTTTTATTTGTCTGTCTGGATCAAACTAGAGTCAAATACTATTTCTAAAATATGTTCATTGTTTGTTTGAACCTGCTGGACTGTGAAATTCATATTATTAAGAGATAAGTCCTACAAATAAACTGTCAAGCTAGCAGGTAAAGAAGCCCATTAATTATCAGATATTTAAATATAAACAGAAGCACTGTCAGAGTCTGATCTTAATGCCTGTTTCTCTTCTTTTATTCTCAAATGTCAAGTGACCTCTCGGCCTGAGGGACGGCATCCTCTGAGATTTGATCTGTCTTTGTCTTCAGTGTGACCTGGTGTACATGTGAACGCTGTCTCTCGGAGGATGTGCAGAATGTGATTGTGCTCAACACAGTTAGTTGAAACAAAGCTGTCACTCTGAGGTGGAGCCAATGTGGCTGAACCGTTACCACGAATAAGCTGATCTCACTGACGGAGGTTAGAAATAATGCTGATATTGACTGACATGTATTTGCACTGGAACACACTGGTTTGAGTAAAATCATAGTAAACGATCCAATGAGTTCTCGTGTTCTTTCATTAGCCTGTTAGCTTGATGCATTGAAGACTAAGAGAGTAATAGTGGTTTTAATCACACGTTTATAACGACAATGGATCATCACACCAGAATCACCTGAGATGATGGAGTTCCAGCTGCACAGGAACAATGTTTACGTTAGCCAGCTAGCCATTGTTAGCAAAAAACTATGCGTCATTTCAAGAATGCTAATACCTTAGTGACACGTCTGCATACGGCAAGTCAACACTACTGTGTGTACGACACATATAATGACAGAAGTGCTAATAAACAGTAAAAACTACAGCTTTCACTGCTGAAAGTTATTTATAGGTAGTTAGAAACACACCTCTGAATCAATGCTAACAATTAAAAATGTGCTAATGTCTGTTTGCATGGACGTATTAGTTATCCCTCTATTTAAATGTTTGCCTATAGAATATTTTTTGGCGTCATGATATTTCATTATATAACTTTCAGAAAAATGAACCCTGTGACCCAACGTTACCGAGGCCTCACTGTGGTGACTCCTGAGCCCTAATGTCAAACAGCCTCGGTTCATTTCTTTCTTTACTCATCAGGCTCGTCATTTATTTTAACTTTGAGGAAAATCAGTCAAAAAATTAAAGAATATTAAGCTTCAGCACCACAAAGAGAATATTTCAATCAATAAACACATTTATTACACACATACCTTTACAGTAAACATACAGTATTTGTTGGTACAGTAAATGCAGTGAATGAAGTGCTTCGTTTTGGCGTCAATAAACACAACTAGCTGGCCTCTCCATAGTATTTTCTTGTGATTTCTATCAAGTAGACTATTTACATTTTGTGATATGTCTCTTAAAGTTCATACTGCAATTAGCAACCGTGTGCTCCTGATGTCTACACCAATGCATTTTTGTTAAAAACCTACTTTGTGAAAGCACCATTTGTTAAGATATATTTTAAGTATCAAAAGAAATCTTGATCTTTATAATATTTTCAAAATCAAAGTACGGTGACAGAGGTGGAAGTGGTTGTTGCTCACTAACTCTGTGCCATTCGAAAAGACATCTTGCGCGGGCAGGTGCTGATTTGCAGTTACACTCGCCGGCAGACATGCTGGATTCCCCCTCTAGGCCGAGTTGCTCCTGGCTCTATCACAAGTGTTGGCCTGTATGTGCAATGTTTGGACTGGCAGTGCATCAGTTTGTGATGGTTAAAACATAATCTGGATGAAGTCATTCTCTATCAGTTTGGTACGGTGGCCGAGAGAGCTCAGCACACTGCAGATTAAGAAAACATTGTATTTGCATGTGTTGTGGCTTTTTGATGAAGTTGTTTTCTGTATTTGCATGTGTTGTTTTTCTATTAGCATGTGTTTTCTTAATTTGCAGTGCGTTGAGCTCTCTCGGCCGTCGTACTTTGGCGGTATGCAGACAAAAACTCAATATCTGGTACGATTTTTTTTTTTTAAATGCTTCAAGCACACATTGGTGAAGTTCAATCACAAAACTGGTAATCGGATGCTGTGCAAAGCAAAAGCAAACATAACACCGTTTCACACCCAGACCTCTGACTGTTGGTGTGTGAGGTCTGGGTGGCACACAGTCGGGCTTAGAATTCATGATGGCTGAGAAGCCATCAGACAGCGAGTGCTTATGTCGCCTCTTTCTTTTCCCTTTGGGCGCTCCGGCGGATCTTCATCTCGGTCAGCTGGATGTAGCGGATGGCATTGGTGTCTGGAAAACAAAGACAGGAAATGGCTGATTTATTTCCTGCTCAGAGAGGAAATGTTGCACCAATATGCTCGTAAATCTTTGAAAGCAGAACTTAGAATGACGTGCTAAGAGTGGCTGTGTAGGAATTAAGCTTTGGAAATACTGCAACTGCAAAAACCAAACATGTTTTTTCTCGACACGGAGCATCGTGCATTTTTAGCTCATCCTGAGTAAAATGGTCTCGTAGAACTTGAAAGCAATTGCATTATCAATTGGATGAATCAATAATAAATGTGCAGGTTCTGGACATTTGTATTTCAAAAGCAAAGCACTTGCAAAGACCGGAACCAACTGAAGCTGTGTGCAGAAGACGGCTGTGTGACACGGCCCAAAGCCTTGAGTTTGAGTTTGAGTATGAAATCATTTATCGTTTTCCCAAGGCGATTAATTCCACCTTCACACTTGAAGATCTATGTCAATAAGTCTTTCTCCATCTCTCTAAATAAACTAAACAGTCTATCATTGATCATCCAGAAGGACTTTCATGCCCTGAAGTACTGCCAAAGAGACCCCATCACAAACTTTGTTGTTTAAATCGATGTGAATCAAAGTGACAAACGTAGTCAGACTGGGTGCTTCATCACTATTATTCCCAGAATGACACATTGAGACATACGGTCTCTGAGCCATTCCTAAGAGATTTAATAGCACTCTCCAGATGTTACAGCAGAACAAGAAGCTATAAAATTCAATATGTTAAATGTAATATCATAGTTTAAAATAACTTTGTATTATTCTTCTGCATTGCTAGTGTTTACCCTCTTGCCCTGCAGTAGTCCTCAGTTTCTCTCCATCTGCTCAACACCTACTACATTGCTTGTTTTTAACATTTAAATCCAGCTATTATCTGAGTAAGAAACATCTGGAGCCCCTGACTTATAGCCGTGCATGTTTGCCATGGAAGATAACAATCAGTGCAGTGCGGTCAAGAGGACTATTTAGATACAGCCGCTCTGTGGGTCCTGACCTGATGGCTCCTGTTTGTTGGACTCCTTCAGGTAGTACAGGGCCTTCTGGAAGTCTCCCAGGTGGTAGTAGGCCACTCCAGATCGGTAGAGAGCCTTGAAGTTCTTCCCTTCCTTGTAAAGCACTTTCAAACAGTATTCTTTCACTCGCTCATAGTTCACCAGCTCCATTTGCAGAAGACAGGCTATAGAAAGAGGAAAAGACAAGAAAGCAAATAGTGATAACACTGCCTGAGCCAATGTTTGGATTTAATTATACAGCAGAACTACTGATGTTTGTCTTGTCGGGCATCAAACCACAATAATAAATAACTAATAATGGTTAATTTGGCCGGATTTGAATAATAGTAGTCGACATTAAAAGAAAGTGGGACAGTGGAGTAAGCCTAAGAATGACTCATGCTCTTTATGAATCATGCATGAGCTCTGGAGCATTCCTATAGTTCTGTAGTGTGTGTGTCTGTGTGTGTGTGTGTGTGTGNACACACAACACACACACACACTTACAATTAATTCTAAAAGTCTTTCTAATTCACTTAGTTTGCCATTGGCACAATACAGTTTGTAAATTAAATGTTTTTTAAGCATTTATGTCAACAAGTTATTAGAAATCACAAATTAACTGTCAGGTCTCTGGTAGTCATGTGGCAAGCCCTTCTCCTTAAGGAGCCACAAAACAACAATTGCACTATAAAAGGTCAACATTTACATTTTAAATTAAACTGATGACTACTTGCTCAATCCATTCTTTGTTCAAAAAATATGGACAAATGTCCAAAAGTATAGAACATTGTCATATAGTTCCATTCTATTCCAGGTTGTGTCAGTTCAGTTCACTCTAAAAAAATGGAAACAAGCAAATCCTCACATTTGAGAAGCTGGAAACAAATGTTTGTGATTTATTTATTTTTTACATAAAACTGACATAAATTATGAATTGATTGGTTATCAAAATTAAAATGTTCTATCAATTGACAGATTTAATCATTGAGTAACAGTTTCAGCTCTACCTGACTGCGAGTTCAAGAGATGAACGTTCCAAGTAAGATGCTGAGTCTCTGTTCTCGGGAAGCGTTGTTAAAATATGCATGGCTTACAGGTTTTCTGCTGCTATTATTTTTTACAGGTTTTGACAAAACTATTGAAAGTGAGAGGGATGAAGACGGGAATCTTCAGTCTTACATTTTAAAATAGTTTCCACGATGACAGGAACATAATTCACTGGAGAAAAATGAAATCCCTAAATTCATGTTTTTAGCCCTAAAACACATTTTGGATGATATAAGTAGAATCTCAGAAAGTCAGAAACTCATCCTATGAAAACATGAGCTCAGTTTCCTCAATGGTTATGATGACCCTGACTAAAGTGATAGCTGTTTTGTCCAGTAAACAGGTAATGATGGACAGCTACATGAATAGGATGAGTTAATGTTATCAAGACAGACAAACAAACATCAGGCCCATCAGAATGAATGCCTTGTGAACTCCATGATGGATTTCTTTAAACTGTGCGTGAATTTCATTTCGCAGCCTGAGGGGAGCCCATTAGAGGTAAATTACCCCGGGCTGCCTCCAACAAACCTACCCCTCTGAGGTCAGAGCCTCTTTTCAGGTCTGATTTCTGAGAAAGGATGGCGCTGGTCGCAGCATGAGGCATCATCTCTCTGCTGAGGGAGACCTGACCGGAAAGCAGAGTTCTTAAAGTCACATTTTCACAGCCCTTTGCAATCAAAGAAAATCACTCCGAGCCTGTAATGTACTGGAGGCATGGAAGCACGAACAGCATCAATCTGAAACACTGCATTGGATCAGAGTTTCCATGGATAATTGTAATTAGTTAATATTTATCATTGCACTAATTTCATAGAAGATTCTGTGGGTAGAAGACGGAGAAATACACTGAAGGGATCACATTCCTCCAAGTTAGGCAGAAGAAAAGTTGAGCACAAAGCAAAGTCTGGTAAGTGCATTAGTATTTTCATACTCCTGTTGCAGAGTTGGGAGTGAGCGTGGGAGGAAAAAAACCCTCAGACGCCTATACCCAGCAGACCTTTTCAATTCAGCCATGTCCAGAATGCAAAGAGAGATAGTGACAGAGGAAGAAAAAGGTGAACACTCCCCCTGAAACACTGTCAAATAAAGGGAAGACAGGGATGAGAATAATAGTGATAAATGTCAGCGAGGTGCAGACGCCTCTGTGGCTTTGGAGGTTCATGGTTATGCGGAGACATATTGTGCAAAGTGGGCACAAGGGTTAGAGCAAGACAGGAGAGAGCGATATCCCATGAGAAAGCAGACAATTCAAGATAATCCGATAGAAGAAGAAAGTGGATACAGGCATATGGGGTTTAAAAGCCATAACCCTTCTTTCGATGTATTAATTTAGATTAAATGTCCACAGATAATTCAGTTTGACAGATAAGAGTGAAAGGTTTGTCCTTCACGTTAAAAAAAATGAAAATCGAACATAAACAGACGCCCTTACAGTGAGTTGCTTTTCTAAGAAAAATCAAGAGCCACATTTCAGGTTTCTAACCGACTTCAAGTGTCGTGGAAATAAATGTGTCATCAGGAAACTTCACCCTGGGTTATTCAGAGAAAGAAAAAGAAAAAAAAAAACAACTCAAAACCTGACAGCAACAATATGTTCATGCAGCCTGTGACTGTTCTCTCCATCTTCTCGAGGACGTACGCTGCAAAGATCCCTCGATACAAAGCTTGTGCTGCTGCTAACATGACATTCAGAACAACGCCATTTGTTTTACATTCGGTTATACTTTAACACCGAGCTGCCTCTCAATGTATGGATCCATGTTGGACATACATGCACATGTTTATGTGGAGCAATGTGTAGGATCTCAGTCTTTCAAACACATCGAAGTGTTTTCACGAGAGACCGGTGATACAATCAAGCACGCGGGAGGAGCCCCTCGCGCTACTATCATTTCCTCTGAGGCCCTAAACCAATACGTTTGATTTACGGTGCGTCACCTGGCATTTATTTATCCACCTCTAAACTGGCAGAAGAAAAATTGAAGAAATATATATGACGTGGTTGTTAAAAGACGGTCTCTGTTTAAAGGTTATACTGGAGATATGGAAGTGTGATGAAAAAAACATAGATTCTCTTTACAGTGTTCTAAAATTTACAACAGCAAGAATAAATCATTTGACCTCATCTGTACATTCCACACTGCCTTGGAATAACAAGCATGATTACCACACTTCACAGATTATCTAATGTGTTTGATGAAGACAGTGTTGTTTTTAGATCTGTACAGACTTGAACAGTTCAACCTCAGTGTGTGATAATGTTCTCTGGTGTTATGTGTAGTACTGCTCTGTGATTATGTAGAGTTTTTCATTGAGGTGGATGGTGTTGATGTTTCATTGTTATCTTGTTGTCTGTCTGATATATGCTGTATGTCACATTATGCATTTCCAAAAGGCTCAAATCCACATTTATCCATCTATCTATCTATCTATTTATGTATCTATCTATCTATCTATCTACCTATTTGAGTATCTATCTATCTATCTATCATCCCCCTCCTCCCTCTTGAATATTGGAGGACTACAGTCACCTCCACTCAGATGAATCAGACGTTGTGATGATCATGTCTTTCTTGTTGACTGCTCGCTCACTGCTCAGCCACAACAGTCACACTCATGAAGGGCTGCAGCCTCTAATGCAGAATGATGTCATTCATGTGTGTGCAGGGTCATAATGGTACTCGTCACTTCTAGTCAGGGGCCAGGAGAGGCAGCCAGGTGATGACTCAGGTCGCCCACTTTGCTCTGACACGACAGCTTCTCATTTTGACTGTTGTTTTATCAACAGAGCTGAATGTGTGTGAGCTTGTTTACGCGCCACGCTCAGATCCATCTGTCCTGTCACACTCACAGGGGCAATGACCTCAGCTGTTCGGGTGTGTCTCCGGAATTTCAACTCTCTGGAGCAAATGCTGCTCAAAAATAAAAGATCATGAACCATGAAAGCTATTAAATGTGACAGCTTGCATAAAGCTGCATCCTTTTTAAGCATTTAATTGGGTTCCAGATATGAGATTTACAATCATTTCTTGATTACAATTCAGTTTAACACTTCATTTAGATTAACCATGCAGGCCATTTTGAATCAAGATGTAGTACTTATACTTAACTTAAGTATAAGTACAAATACCAAAATGTAGATGTACATTAAATGTAAAAGTACTGCATTCAAATTATATTTTAAAAAGCAAAGGTACACAAGTATAATCAGAGACATATACATAAAGTATTGAATGTAAAATGTCCCCTGTGAGTATAATACTGTAACATTAGTACTGATTCATTAATGTTAAGGCCTACACACAGTTCAAATGTTACATGAGGTGCAGACAAATCATAACTATGCAACAAATGAATGTATTAATTATTGACTAATGTCTGTTTTCGTATTAACCAGCCACCTGTTTGGTCTTTAACGAATAAGATAATACATACATCCATAATGACAATATTTTTGTCAATTTACCTATGGCCCAAATACACATTGCTCGTGTTTTGTCCAACCAGTTGTCCAAAAATCATCCCCAATGAATAAAATACAGTTATTTTGAATCATAGAAATTATCTTTTATAAATGTTTTGTGCTTGAGTTACTTTAAAAAATAATTAGTTAGACTTCCTTGTGTCATTAAATCTCTTTTCTACTGTTATTTATACATTTTATTCAAGTTTACGTCATCAAACTCCGACCTGAAGTAAGGTGACGACGTCATCTTCGTGAGACCCTTTGTTGTCACAATGTCGGCTGTGGATTTCAGAGGTAGAGAAAACACATTTATCGTTTGTTAGAACTAACATGAAGCGTCATCCTGCTCTGATATTAAACAAGTGAATGAATTAAGTGTTACATTCGAACCATTTACATTCAACTGTTGTCAATTCGCCGTCGGCAGCTTCCACAGGAGGGCTAAGCTAGGAGCTAACGTTAGCAACGATTAGCATCTTTGATTCACTTAATATTAGTAACATGATATTACAGCTGCGTTAGTTTTATTTAAGACAGAGTCATTTCCATTATAAGGACTAGTCTGGTTCTGTCATTGTTGGGTAGTTGGAAGTAACTGAGAGTGAACTAGTCACCAGTGGTGGATAATCTGAGGAGTACAGAGAGAAAACTACTCATTTTCAAACACTTA